TTCTCTCCCCATGTGTACTATACATCATGAGATACCTACACAAATAAAAAATATTGAAGGTGAACATGATTCTAATATAGGTACTTATCGACCAATAAGTGATATTTCTCTGCAATTTTATTCTGTTCAATAACTAAAATAGTAAAATTTTCTTCTTGTAGGAGTTTAAAAAAGGTGTTCTTTATATATAGTTATACCATATAAACAATTATAGTATACCAGGTTTCTCGCTAAGAACATGCAAGCTGTAACTTAGCCATCTTTGATCCGATTAAAAATAAAAGAAAGATTAACGTTAACGGCTCTGAAGATACTAAACTGGGATTTACTATACCCTCTGTTTTCAACGCCCATAGGTATAGATACCGTTATACAGGCGATTGATCTTTTTACGACATATATATTTTTTTTGTACTTTATCTGGCAAAAAGGGTTTTTCCGAGCCGCAAGATCTTGATTTTTGACAAAAACGTCAAACATGCCTTTAAGACAGTCGAATCAACAAGTACATAACGTTTCTGCTTTTAGATTTCCAAGTTAAATTTAATTCAATGAAATTAACAAAATGGTATTCAGTGCATCGGGAAAACAAAACAAGTTATAATACCTCCCATTTGAAAAAATACAAAATTGACAATCGCCTATCATTAAACTAATTTTTTTTTTACTGACAAAGTAAGCAAATGAATATAAATCACTTTTAAAATTACAAACTAAATTTAAAGTCAATTATGTACCTATACAGGGTGTATCTAAATAACACCGAAAAAATTCAAGGGGCGATTCTCCGATGAAAATTAATAGGGGTCTTTGGTATAAAATTTTTTGAAAAAACCCTCCCCTGAAAAGTTACGCCCCTCCTAAAATTACAAAAAAAAATTGTTTTTCTTTTTTATCTTCCACGTACATCAAGCTAAAGAAACCAAACTTGGTGAACATTATCTGTCAATAAAACTACACTTTTTGAATTTTTTTCAACCCTGAACTATTTTTGTAAGGGGTTGAAATAATCAACCCCTATGACATTTTTTCTTATAATTTTTTTTTCGATAAAATTTTTTCCTTTTAAAAAATATGTCTAAAAAACCCCATTCATTTACTAACTTTTTGATCTCTTCAAGTTTCTTCGAAAAGTTAAGGATTTATGACAAAAAAAAAAAAATGTATTGTAATGTATTTTTAAAAAGATGAGCTGTTTAACGCGAGTGTATTTTGCCGAAAGATCTAGTGGCCTGTTCTTTACAATGGAATCCGTAGAAACAAATGTCAATGTCATTTATTGTTACTGTTTCTTACTATTTCACAAGTTTCATGATTTTGTGTAGAAAATATTAGTTAATAAACCGAAAATATGGTTAACTATTCGAATTTAGAAATGGCAGATATGCATTTTACATATGGGTATGCTAACGGTAATGCATTGGAAGCGCAAAGACTTTATGCTGAACAGTACCCAGAGCGTAGATTACCCCACCATACTACGTTCACAAATATTCACCAACGCTTGCGGGAACTTGGAAAATTTGAAAAGAGAAGTCATGACTGTGGCCGTAGCCGAGAAGTTAGAACTGAAGCTGTCGATGAAGCCGTACTTAATTTAATTGAGGAATCCCCAGAAACTAGTACCAGGAAAATAGCTCGTGTCCTAAATGTAAGCCATTCGGTAGTTTTTAGAATTTTAAAAGAACAACAGTTATATCCCTATCATCTCCAACGGGTGCAGTCGTTACTGATTCGAGATTTTTTACCACGTGTGGTTTTTTGTCAATGGCTTATTAATATGATCGGCCAAGCGCCGCAGTTCTTAAGAAATATTTTATTTACTGACGAGGCGAATTTCTCAAGAGACTGTATTAGAAATTTTCGTAACAATCATATTTGGGCTGAGGAAAATCCTCATGACTTTTTTGAAGGAAATCATCAGTATCAATTTTCATTAAATGTGTGGCTCGGAATTATCGACGATCATTTAATTGGTCCCTATTTTCTTCCACGACGATTAGATGGTGACTCATATTGTCATCTTCTCGAAGAATTACCTATTATTCTTGAAGAAGTTCCCATTCAAATTAGGCAACGTTTATGGTTTATGCACGACGGTGCACCAGCCCACTTTAGTATACGTGCAAGACGTCACTTGGATGAGGTGTATGCCAATCGATGGATAGGTCGAGGAGGATATGTAAATTGGCCAGCCCGCTCCCCTGACCTTAATCCTTTGGATTTTTGCATATGGGGATATCTGAAATCTTTGATCTACTCAAGGCCAGTTGAAGATATCAATGATTTGCGAAACCGCATTGTAGCAGGGTGTGAAACGATAAAAAATTCACCAGGAATATTTGAACGCATACGCAATTCTATGAGAACAAGAGTAGATGCTTGTATTGAAGCTGAAGGCAATCATTTTCAACATTTTTTGTAGATTGTATTGTCAATATCCGACAGATTTTTATTTTTTGTTACTGTTATAACATTATTCATCATTTGTTCACTTTTAGTCTAAGTTCCAAACTTCTTAGCCTAGTAGAATCATAGGTCAACTATTTGGTTGAGTGTTTTTTAATAAAATGTTATTTAATATGACAATAAATGACATTGACATTTGTTTCTACGGATTCCATTGTAAAGAACAGGCCACTAGATCTTTCGGCAAAATACACTCGCGTTAAACAGCTCATCTTTTTAAAAATACATTACAATACATTTATTTTTTTTTGTCATAAATCCTTAACTTTTCGAAGAAACTTGAAGAGATCAAAAAGTTAGTAAATGAATGGGGTTTTTTAGACATATTTTTTAAAAGGAAAAAATTTTATCGAAAAAAAAATTATAAGAAAAAATGTCATAGGGGTTGATTATTTCAACCCCTTACAAAAATAGTTCAGGGTTGAAAAAAATTCAAAAAGTGTAGTTTTATTGACAGATAATGTTCACCAAGTTTGGTTTCTTTAGCTTGATGTACGTGGAAGATAAAAAAGAAAAACAATTTTTTTTTGTAATTTTAGGAGGGGCGTAACTTTTCAGGGGAGGGTTTTTTCAAAAAATTTTATACCAAAGACCCCTATTAATTTTCATCGGAGAATCGCCCCTTGAATTTTTTCGGTGTTATTTAGATATACCTTGTATACATTGTAATAATAGGTATATTCTATACAGTAATCACAATGTTCTTTGGATTTTATATGTATCTACAGTTCGCTCTGAGAATTTTTTTTCAAAGTATATCTCCTTTTTTAACTAAATATTTTACGGGAAACAACTGCTACACGGTTACATACTTCATCCGACATTGAATTTACACCATCAATATCTAGTAAATAGCTAAGATCAGCAGAGTTACTAGAAACAGGCTGCTTTTGAAATAACAACGACATTTAAAAACGATGTGACACGTGACATATATTTTTTAAGTTATATCTTACCGACAGTACTCGAATGTACGTGTTTTGATATTCATATCTAATATATTCGATTTCTGTGACACTATCCGTAACTATAAAAATAAAAATTAATGATATTTCAAAAGCTAACATTATTTGTGCAATGTGTATTTTCATTACCTATGTACATACATACCTACTACATAATGAGAATAATAACAACACAGGCACGCAAAAAAAAGGAAAAGTGATCTGTTCCAGAGACAAGAACTCTATGTATCCTTATATATTTTGAAGCGCTAAATCAGATTCCAAAATTGTTCCATCACTCCCGTTTTTTTTTAAATCTCAAAAAATGGTCTTTAAATACAGAAAATACGAAAAAACTCGCTTCGAGAGAGATCAGCATTAGGTATAATTGTAGAAGCCGACTGAAAATAACTGCAGGACCATATTTTTATAATATTCTCAGGTGTATTTTGAGATTCACTTGACGTAGGTAGGTTTGCTTTTTTCTATATTTTACATCTCCATGTCTACTTTTTAATAACATCTAACGATACACATCTTTTGACATCTAAATACGTACCTACATACCTACCTATACCTATATGTATATTTTGATTTTTATAAGGTGACATCTACCTATTTTTAGTGAGTGTAATATGCAGCGTTAGTATTATCCTTTTGAATATTGTTTTATAGACCCAAGTATATCGTACATAGATCTCTTTATTCACGGCTTCAAATGCACTGTCTGTTTTTAATATCACTTGTCCTTTGGGTCCCATTTTGAAATATGATCGGACTACGCACGAAACACTTTGGTCCGCCGTTACAACCAATTATACTTTTAGAGAATTGCGTTTAATGAGGGTAGAGTACCTATACCTATTGAGTTTTAAGTGTATATATGAAAAAAAGTAGCGATGGGTTAATTCTAAATTTTTTACTTTAACGATAGATACTTCATTTTTTCAACTTGTAAAGGCAGTAATAATAAAAATAACGTTGAAAGTGACAGGAGATATAATGTAGAGTACAAACAATAATACAAACTTACTCTTGAGTTTTAGGTGCGTATTGCATCATAGATTCTGGTATTTATAAGAATATTTGAAAGTGAAAAAAGTCATTTTGCAACCGAACTGCCCTTTGTGGAGGCTATAGAACATTATTATCTGATTGATTTACCCAAATCGAATATTTTTAATAAAGGTTGAGATTATACATGCCTTTATTTTATGTGTTGCTAAAAAATATATACCTACTTATGTACAAACGATTTACGTTAGCCGTCCAATAAGCAGGTATGTACATAATACATATAATTCTAGAAAGTAAACGATAAGAATTTTGCTGCAATAAGGAATAAGGCTACCTATCCTCGTCATTTACTGACAATGAGAATCCTGGACAAATTGTCTACAATAAAATAAAAGCTACAACACAGCTAATAGTCCATTGGATATTTAGGTTTCTGTCTACCACAAGTTGAAATGTTATTGGTTGTGAAGGAGCTGCTTTAGTTTACGCTCCTTCCACAAGAGGGGATATATCGCCCCTCTCCATCATCGACTTTCAATTCGTCCGGCAGTTCCAGTTAGCACTTAGCTGCTCATTCCGTGTCGATTGGGTATTGGCGCAGAAATTGTTGTTTTTGTTTACTGATTTCATTAAGTTACTTAGTGATAATAAAGAGTTGATATAGTGGATGTTAATAAAATGAAGGAACCGGACTCGATAGCGGTGTTTTATCAGTGGTAGTATTTTTGGTGTGGAGCGGAATCAGGTACCGTCGGGTACCAGAAACATGGTGACATTAATGCCTTGCAATTATTTGAGCCCTCAAACGTCAAGGTGTGCGATGATTGAAAAGATGTGCGACTCAAAGGTAAATAAAATACAGGTGTACGGGTATTTGGAAGGTGTTACCCAATATTATAAATCTATATATCTGCAAATAAATAAATGATCCCATTCTTCCCTGACAAAGTAACTAGGTATACCTTATTATTATTATTTTTTAATATTTAAGAATAACTCTCATAACTTAACATATTAACGAATTCTAAAAAAAATATTTAGCTACTTTCTTGTAAGAGGCACGTTTTTCAAAAAGTTTTCCTTCCGTAATTACCTATTTAGTATTATTACAACGCCCATTTCAAGTGTACATGTTTGATATCAGTGTGGATCAAATATCAACTTATGGCATGGCTAGTCAGTGGTGGCCATGTGTAATTCCCTAAAATCTCCTCTTAAAATAACATGCATTACTAAATATTATGACAAACATATACCTAACTATTTATTTCACATGCGAGTATGTATCTAAATGTAAAAAAATGACTAAAAAATATTGACGAAAGCATTGCTTAGTTGTCTGTCGCGCCTTCATTTTGGGATACATACCCGACCTTTGAGAAATTTGTCTACATATATTGTATTATTGAAATAAAAAGAAATATTCTACTTCTACAACCTTTAAGTAATATTGCAACAAGTCAGATATCTAAAAGAAAACGGACTTTAAATAAATTGAATCAAGGTGACGAATTGCCTACCTATATACTACCATATATAGAAACTTTACTAAACAAATAAATCCTGAAATATATGCCTACGTAGTGCATACTTATTTTCTTCGTTATATTTTAATATAATTTACATCTTGAATGTTTTTTTTATTCTCTTAACGTATCATTTTGTCTATTGATATTAGCATTTTAATTCATATTTAAATGTACTTACTTTTAATTTGAAAAGATTGTGGAGTACCATGCAAAATGGAAAAAAGCCACTAAAAAATCATTAAACCATTAATATTTACTATAAATCCGAGACAGTCTCTTTCAAATGTCAGTCATGGAATGTTGCTTACGTTTAATGGAACGCCCTGTATATTTTTGTAACTGCCAAGCTGTCACAGTAAATTATTTTCGAGGAAAATTCTTGTAACAGTTTTTAATAAAACTTAGAATAACCAATTTATTGAAAAGTAACATTTTTCAAAAAAATTGTTACATTTTGTCGGTGATAAAAGACGCAATTTTTCCATAAAAATAAAATATCACTGCCTATGCTACTAAATTTCCGAAATAAGTACCTTTACAAAATTACAAAAAAATAAACTGGATTAGTTTTTCAATTTAAGACAAATTTACATAGGATATTAATTTGTCCATATTTCATGTTTTCTATAAAAAAGAACAAAACGTAGTTCGGATGTCAAAAAAAATAATTTTTACAACAGTCTTCAGTTGTTATATCCGACGGGACAAATAGTATAATTATGTTTTGATATAATATAGTGGTAGTCTTTATATTTTTTAAAATTTCTTGATATTTGATATTTTAATTCATTCAGTCCGTTTCCTATCCCATTCCTTTTTAATAAATGTATCTACATATTTTGAAATTATTCACCTACAAAAAATTTTGTAGGTATGCCTAAGTAAAGATATAGCGTTATTTCACAATTTTTATACTAAAAACAAAAACATTCTGTTATTTGAAAACCAACTTACATTTTGATAATAAAACTGGATAGAACCCAATCCGAACCTAACAGGGATAATTTGTATTCAATATGATTCTTTTTTTTAATATATTACCTACAAGGTGAATTCATACATACAAGACCAATTTTTCTGTCGATTTTTAGTACAAAAAATCATATTTGGATTTGGTTATCAGGTTATTTGGATATGGTTCAAGGTATGGACTGCTTATCCTGGGGCTATTTTTTTAAATTAATAAAAAGTGTTGTGTACTATCTTGCCTAAACATTAACTATTAACTAATACATAAAAGTTTCACAATCATCACTGTCCCTTAGAAACATTAAAATGATAGGTACCTAAAGTATTTGTTAACGCTGCCAATATGTACTTGAGTTAGGTAAATCAGCTGTGACTTTTTAGGATTTGTAAAATCTTTAAAGAAAAAATTGTATTTACCAAACTTTTATCGGGAAAAGTTTACTAAGATAATGGAAAAATGTTTAATTTAACACTTAAATATTACCTATATTGTTTATTGTTAATTAATTCAATTAAAATTTCCTATTTTTCGTTTAAATTTTGATAGGGTCAAAAAAATACTGTTTTAAATTCTTTTGTAAAACTATATTAAGTATTTATAACCTCACTGTGAGTTATATATAAGTACCTTTAGGATTCAATTGGAGTTTAGGATTTTTATATCTTATAGAATATTGACTAAAAGCGTTCCACAAACTAATTCAATAAATTTTTTCCTAAAATAATCTCGTCAAATGAAAACAGTGTGCAAAAGATCTAGCAGATAAGATTCATAACTGTTGGTATTGCAGGAAACAACTACTCTATTTGGGTTACATACCCTAACCAGCATTGAAATACACTGAAATATCTATCAAATAGCTAATAATAATTCATAATTATTATCCAAAATAAAAATAAAAAGTGGTATGTCAAGTATTATCAATATAAAAACGCATACCTGACATGGTGATATTGATAAATAATGCACTTTTTCAAATAAACATCTTCTATTTTTCTTTTTCGACATCTTAACAAAGACCAACACGTAAAAATTAGAAAGATCTTGCTATTTCCACATTTTATTAGAATTGTTTCTTCAGGTAGTCTGAATCAATAAATATAAAAAAAAACAAAATTATATAAAAAAAACACAAGACATTTAGAAAATGGTATTTTGAAACCACATAGTTAAAAGTGTTAAGTGTGTACTAGATTATGTGATTTTTTTTACCGTACCAATATTTGCTCTTTTTTTACTAAATATCTTTTTTAAAAATATATTTTATCGCTTTCGTGTTTTTTACTTTATTATAAATGTGTTAATTCAAATAAATTGAAAAAATGTTTTCCTTAAATTCACATATACCTACAACACTTGACACTGTCGTTTCAAAATGTTTTTTTCTAGAAGTTTTGTGTTACTTGGACATATTTTACATTTTTTAATTTATTATTTACTAGCTATTTACTAGATATTGCCGATGTAATTCAATTGGTGGGGCATCTAACCCATAGAGTCTGCCGTTTCCTGTAATACCGACAGTTACCAATCTTGTATGTGAGGTGACTTCATTTGATTGGATTTATTTAGATTTTTTTTTTATTTATTCGAATTAATAAAGTAAAAATACTAGATAAAATGTAGGTAGATATATTAAAATAAAAGAAAATCTATGATACATTTGAATAAAAAACATTACGTTGTAAAAGAAAGAAAATGATTTTGTTAACTTCAACGACTATCTTCTGTACGAATAATTTTAAAATATCTTTTTTTAAAAATCGTGATCGTGTTTTTTGCCACACTTTAAATTATATTGCAGAACATACACATAAGATGATAAGTGAGAAACGTAAGTCCAAGTCCAAAAAGGAATTTGCAGTGTTGCACATCTGTTACACATTACGTATTCCTACACCTATTTGCTTAAGTTGACCTAATGTTTCTAAGAAATTAGATGATATGAATATATTTGATTACGTGGACCCTACATTTGTTATTTGGACAATAATTTTGTGAATTTGCTTTTGGAAATTGAAATTTCTCGCCGCAAATGCGCAATTACAAAATAATACCTGTACTGTTTCATCGCCTTATGAATGATACGATATTTATTGAAGCGAGTAACAAATGTTTACTATTGTGCGACAAATAGCAAACAATAATAAGTATCATAAAACCTTTGCAAGTGACTGCATGGTTAAGCAGATTACGATGTTTAATATAGATTCCTATGGGATTTTATAAGGAAATTAATACGAAATGATCGTACAATATACATACATATAGGCTGTTTAGAAATTCTCAAGTATTTAAAGGGTAAATATGTAGGTATATCGAGGCTTCGACTCACAGTATTTACCAACGTTTCTATCCGTTACATCGTATTAAAAAAAAATTAATGTGTTACTACTGTTATTTTTAAGAACATATTTGCATTTCTATTTTCTACTATAAAGAGTATACATTTATTATAATTATAGCCATGCGGGGGTCAACGTCTAAACTGTCCTCGAAGCTCAAAGTCCAGACTCGTGTTTATATCTAAATTAACGGGTTTGACTGAATGAAAGAGAAAATGAGAGCGTGGATATTGTCCTAGCCAAACTTGCCATGTTTCCTCTTTATGTGCAATTTCTATTGCAACGTTTACTTACATAAATCTTACATAAATTAATATCTAGTAGTATATTACAGTAGGATAGTATTTAGTAGTAACTAGTAGTAGTAGTTAGTAGATGCAAACTCCTGGTATATCAGAAAGACCTTGTGATCTTTAATTTAAGACTGTCAAAAAAGAAAACACGTACCACATTCACCTATTCAGAATTGTATTGTTAGTTAACTAGATTTTGATTTTATAAATTTTTTAACTCTAAAAGCAATGAATATGTCACGCTTGGGAGAATAGTCACAATTATAATTCAATAAGGATCGGTTAAAATTTTGGACAAGGAAAATAATACAGTTAAAAAGAAAATTAAAAGAAATCTCGACGGTGAAAGATGTGTTTGAAATTATTGTGTGACCTTGGTTCCTTGTTGGCTAAAAGATGAAGTAAGTACCTAATAATAGAATAAACATCATAGGATATTTTTAACTATGGAAACAGGCAGAAACAAACAAATTTAAAACAGTCTATATCATTTCAAGAGACAAAATCAGATTGATCTTCGAAACATAAACAAATTTTTGAGGTGTGCCTAACTATCTTCATAAAAATAATCCCCCGAATGGTCATTTTTTGGGGCAAGAGTTTTTTTATTAACTGCAATTTACTGATTTTTTCTTATTCATGTGTCCATTTTTTGTAATTATTTTCTCAATAAAACTCACTAGGTACTTTGTACTTATAAGAGAATACGTATCTGATATTTAGGAATATGTATTGCAAGTACAAAGTTAAATTTTACCTGTAGTTTTGTCACTAATTTTAAAGAAATACTATCACCAAATACCTATAAGTATAAATAACACCCCTTTTCGAGGATAAACATCGCCAAAAGATTAAGATACCGGTTGATGCCCATTGCCCATACAGAAAAATAAAAGCATACTGTAGCCAGCATGGCTGAACACATTCCCTCTTTACTTATTAAGGCAAAACTTATGTTCGGTTGAAAAGTGCGGTACTTCAAAGAACGCATGGAATTGGTATTGGCTTTACTTACCAGATGTGGGTCTTTACTGACGTACCTCGGAAGTTACACAAGTGGAGTGGAGAGAACACATTTTATTGTGGGACAAGGCAAACATTTCATCGGGATGCTTCGAAAATAATGCCCTGTACGACATATACACGGGGTGTCTACCGTTAAGTGTTTACAAGAACGCCTCGAGTAAATTTATGGAAATGTTTTTTGATAGTTTTCAAAATGAGTTGTGAGACATATGTTCAAATTTATTTATGCTTTACCATTCATAAACAAAACTTGATAGAATTAAGGAAATTCATAAGAACTAGTGTCATACAGTGGAATATGACCAAGGCATACGTTTACTTAACGTTCTTTAAGGTTCTACAATAGACCCAATCATTTTCTAATCAAATAAATATAATTTGACAGTTTCTTTGCCATGAACAGTTTTACGTGGCGTTGAAAATAGACTAGGCGGTATCTGTTTTGGTTTGGTTTTTGGCTTTTTGGCTTTTTGGCTTTCAAATATCACTAGAAATTAAAATTTTTCTATGCGCATAAAAAACGTGGGCTTAACTTTTGGCGGCACAATATGTTTAAAAAAATCGAAAAATGTCATATTTTTCTTTCTATTTAATTATGTATCTTTTCAAGAGTTGATTTTAGGCGAAAATGGAAGAGGAAAAAATATGTTTGTAATTAATTTTTTTACAAAACATGACTAGTTACAAATCGAATGAATCATGATTCCTATTATAAAAATCGAAAATATCGACAAAAATGGGGATAAAAAATATTACTTTTTAGGGAATTTTTTGGGGTCTTTAAGTTGGGTATAGGACCTTCATACTTGGCTCCAGAAAACTTCATGTTATGTAGAATCATCACACAAATTTCATCAAAATCGGTTCGATAGATTTTCCATAATAATTTTGCAATCCAGATTTTGAAAACAAATTTGCAAATTTTCAAAATTTAGCACAACAAACACCATGGCCCTTAGATACTTGAAAATTTAATCACATATAGAAGGGCTCTCAAGCTTTCAATTTTTTTTTGAAAAATTCGAATCGTCAATTAGGAGAGCTCTGGCTCTTGTTTAAACATTGGTGGAATTTTAGTACTTATAAACAATTAGAATAACTTTGTGAATATTCAATCAAATCAATTTTTTTAAAATAGGTTTTAAAAGTTCTTGGAAAGACGCTTCTTTAAAAAAAACAGATCGATTGGTCAATTAGCCATTTAAAAAAATATCGTTTTAGTAGCTACTGCAGAAATCTGGCAACACCATAAAGAATTATTTGTAAATTTTTTTGAAAGTTATTTCCTACAACTTTGTATTTGGAAGTACTAGTCTATTACTTCAAATAAAAACCAATGTTTAAACAAGCGCCAGAGCTCTCCCAAATAACGGATTCGAATTTAAAAAAAAAAATTTGAAAGCTTGAGAGCCCTTCTATATGTGATTAAATTTTCAAGTATCTAAGGGCCTTGGTTTTTGCTGTGCAAAATTTAGAAAATTTGCAATTTTTTTTTTCAAAACCTGGATTGCAAAATTATTGTGCAAAATCTATCGAACCGATTTTGATGAAATTTGTGTGATGATTCTACATAACATGAAGTTTTCTTGAGCCAAGTATAAAGGTACTATACCCAATTTAAATACCCCAAAAAAAATCCCTAAAAAGTATTGTTTTTTAACCCCACTTTTCCGATTATTTCGATTTTTACCATAATAATTATGATTCATTCGATTTGTAACTAGTCATGTTTTGTAAAAAACATAATTACAAAAAAATTTTTTTCTTCCATTTTCGCCTAAAATCAACTCTTGAAATAATAAAAACTCTATCTTCATATAGGTATTTTGATTTTTGAAATCTAATCAAAGTTCCTGTCAAATGATATTTACAGAAAAACTTCAATCAAATTAAACACATTTTTTTTAAAAGAAACAGCCTATACATTTCTCGATATTTGAAGTCTACGTAAAATGTCCTATCAAATTATGTGCCATACATGATATTTATATTCAAATTTTTTTTCAAGGTAAAAACAACAAAAATTGTTTATTCCTTGAAAGAAATTTCTTGACTAAATATTATGTGATGACATTGAAAGGAAATAAACAGGTTTCAAAAAGTGAAAAAGAACATTTCACAAAAAAAAATAGAATAAAAAACCTACGATTCAAGATTTGTCACAACTTAAACACAAGATTTCCAAAATTTGCGTAAAAGTACATAGGTATTATTTGATCACTTGTATTTAACAATTATTATTACGTTTCAAAAACAATTTTACCGTTTCATTTAGTTTTGCATTTTAAAATTTGACATTCGAAGAGTATTCGAACAGCTTGCGTTTACCATGTACATACATACAATGAGATGAAAGGGTTGATCCCCTAAATAATCTCCCATAATGGATTAAACTCTAAAAGTATGCATAATAGCATTGTAGACAAATTCATATTTACCTACTAACCGATCTAAAAATGCGAACTCTGTTTGACGGTTACCAATTAAAAAACTATTACGTGAAATTAGATTAAAAAAATTATTCGTAAATTTCAATGTATTTAGGGTATCTGGATTTGTTTTTCGAGCATAGGGCCCACTTTTAGAATTAATTATGGATATGAAATTATTGATTTCTCCTATTCCTATGCAATTGTATTGTCTATTGCATAATAAATATTATTATTAGTATATTTCAATAATTAATGTCTGAAAAGTTCTTCAACCTAAAAATAACTTAATAAAACATATTTGATGATCATAGACAACCTACTGTGCAACCTACTTCTTTCTTTTTCTCTTCATCCTTAGAATCATTGCACGGAGGCAAAAAAGAAACTACTGTTTTATCAAACTCAATAAGTATAAACAACCTAGTTGTTTCTTATTATCTATTATTTGGATCAATGTATTTTTCTTAAATAAAAATGTACCTACTAATTATTCACTAATATACAAAATTTGTATACGTCACTTAAAAGCATTATTTGATAGATTTTCGATTTTATAGTAGTGTTTTTTTTTAATATTTAATCTTCCTTTCTTCTGACGAATCTATGATCATTAATATCGATAACGCAAATCGAAGTTTAGAAAATGATTAATAGTAACATCCTTGTAATTAGTCGAAAATTTCAAGCGATAGGTACTCTTCCTGCTTTTTACTATTACTGGCGATTTCTTTATAACTTATTAATTTGTATGTTTCTTTTTATATTCTAGATGAAACGACCACGTGCCGACGCAGATTCATCTGAAAAGGAAACGTAAGTTTTATTAAATAGTATCAAGTAGGTACCTAGTACCTACATGCATACCCGGCTAGAAAAATTTCATTTGTTCTATAATCTTCTCGGGAAGATCGAATCCGGGAAAGTTTTAGTGACATAAACTGCAAAAGATATAATGCACCTTTCTAGCTTTCAAACCATCCCGAAAAAAAAAAGAAAAAATGTATTCATAATTTAATATGAAAAATATGTTTACTTTTTAAAACAATATAAGCGTCATACACGTACTAAAAACTTATATTTTAAAGCACTTATACTAAGTGTTATAATTTACGTTCCGAACAAACTGTAGTTGTTGTCCATTAATAAGAACTGCATGCTGCACAGCAAAACAAGAATTGGTAACTGTCCAGTTAAAATTTCGCACAATCCTATTATAGTTTTTCCGAAGTCAGTTGAGCATGTATAACAACGCCTAGCAATAAAATTTAATGAGTTTCATAGGGGTCCCTAAAAAAGTTGTCTGCTAAAGGTAAAAAATTATAATAATTTGTATATTATAATGTATAGAAAATATCTATTATATGTTCATTTGGCCAACAACATATATTAATTATTTATGTCCTCAAACAATTTTTGATGGTAAATTTAGTTTTGTTCCGTTTTAAAACGTCTCCAAAATGCCATGTTGTAATAATATCTATTAGTAAACAAAATATCCCTTTATTGCTCCCTTTCGCAATAATTGTAACTTGATATTTTTTTTTGTTCAATAATTTTATGAAACAAACTACTGACAGACTACTGAAAAACAATTGAAATCACTAAAATCATAATGGATATTAAATAGTTTTCCACACAATATTAAAAAATATATTTTTTATTACAGAAATATAGCATATAAAATATGTTCAAGTATCTATACAGGGTGTCCCAGAGCTATCTTGACAGTCATTATCTCGGAAACTAGTCGATATAGAAAGAAATGTTGTATATAAAAGAAAATCATTTGTGTATAAACATTTCTTTCTATCTCGACTAGTTTCCGAGATAATGTCTGTCAAGATAGCTCTGGAACACCCTGTATATACAGGGTGATTAACAAATGGTGACCAAAAATGAAACTTCGTATTCTTCGGTGAATTTTAAGGGGAGTCTTTCCTATAAAGTTTTTATCTTCGTTAAAAAGATACAGGGTATTAAGCGAGAAATATATTTTTATTATTATAAGTATTATAATTAGGAAATAATTGCTGGTGTCATTTGAGCTAATATCAGAGGCCAGCAAATAAATATTTGGTGTAAAAAAAATTGAATTAAATTTGAACTTGGAACGACACATGAGCATCATTTTAAAGATCGAAACACTACAAAAACTAACTCAAAACGATTGATTTTATTTAAACAATTGAAGGATCAATTCACTTATCTTAGGCAAGATAGTAAAGGTATTTTTTCACTAAATTAAATGAAAAAATTACACATATTAAGATTTATCTTAGAAATTATACATACACACACTTTTCATTTTTTGAACTATTCCTTAATTAATGTTCTTCTTTGTTTCTTACTATTTATCTACCCAAGTCCCGGTTTTGCCAATTTCTAAATAAATTTATTTGCCACTTACTTAAATCTATCCAACATTCGTGTAGGTATGCAATTTTTACAAGACAGATTTTAATGGCAAAAAAATTTATTCGAAAAAATAGGCTTTAATTTTTTTTAATTTTGTTGGTAGTAAACACTGAATACACGTTTCACATATACCCACCTAAAAGTCCATTACTGTTCCAATACAGGGTGTCCGTTTGCCGTCGCACTATCGGGATCTCGGTTGTTTTAAAATATACAATAAGGTCAGTTAAATTATGACAAACTTGCGGAATTTGATTTACATTTCGAAGTTGTCGATGGAGAAGAAGAGAAGAACACTTTTTCGTGGGCAAACGAATTATTTTGTTTTTCTTATATGGGATTTTTGCATTTTTTAATTCCCCTCAAAATCAAATCCACCTCTTTAGTCTTCATTGTTCTAACTTTAATTTATTCAAAAACATGTTTTAATAAAAGTGTCAGGGGAAATTATTTTCCGTTTAGTGATATCAAGCAATTTTTCGTAGCACAAAAAATGTGGTTGCCAAGGTAACTGACTTAATTTTTTTAAACGGCACCATATACTTTTTTTTGGTGAAAATTAATACATTGGACCCTTCTAAATACGATACAATACAATTTTAATGGGGTCACATAAGAAAAAAATACAAAAAAATTAAATTTTCTATTATGCTTTTGACACTGTTTATCAAAATAATTATGAACATCAAGTTAGCCATGCCAAAATCAGAACAATGCCAAACTGTCACTAGCTGTCAGTTGCTTGTAATTGTGTGCATTGTTGCAGTAAACGTACTTTTTAACTCAATTTTCTGTGTACTTAAGTACTTAGTAAGTTATAATGGCGCTTGAATTAAATGAAACGGAAAGAATACAGGTTTTAATGATGGTGGGGATATGGTGACAGGAAAATAACACAGCGGGAAGTATGTGAGTTGTTTAACGAACTTCATCCAAACAGACCGCAAATAACACAATCTTGTCGTTCCAAATTGTTAAAAAAATTTAACAAACTACATACAGGGCGGCCAAAAACAGCTACTGATGACGATACTACTTTAAATGTGCATCTGTCAATACAAGAGAACCCACATTTGTCCAGTCGGGAAGTTGGTAGGGTGCAAGCCATTTCACATCGTTCTGTGTTGAAACAGCTCCACAAGGAAAAGTTTCATCCATACAAGATGCAGCTCGTTCAAGAACTTGTGCAAAATGATTTTGCAAAACCTGTTGAATTTTGTAACACTGTGTTAGATAAATTTAACATGGATTTGGAATTTGGCAAAAATATTGTGTTCACCGATGAAGCCACTTTTATGCTTCATGGATTTTATAATAAACAAAATTATCGACATTGATGTCAAGAAAATCCTCATTGGATACGAGAAACTCGAACCCAGCGACCAGAAAAAATTAATGTCCGGACAGATATACTAGGAAATAATAAATATTATTGACCTGCCATTTTGCACAATTTGATACAACTGTACGAGTTTCGGTATTATTTTTTCCGTGAATCTAACCAACGGTTGAGCTATTTCAAACAATGTTGTAGTAAGTTGCTTAACGATAGGAGCAGTTATTAATCAAGCCTTCGTCGGTGTTAGACGTGTTACTAAATTTAATGTGTACTTATATACTTACAGGAACTAATATTAGTTAGCAAATCCGTCAACGTTAAATTTGCGCAGATGTTTCAAAACCTTTCCAGTGTTTTAAATCTCTGTAAAAGCCATCATAATTCATTTAAAATAAAAGTAGACTCAACAAATTAACCGTGAACACAATACCAGCTGTCGATGTTTACTGACCAGTCAGCAGTTATTTGATGCAATGAAGGCATGGAATATTTATTTATCTGCAGTGTTCTCATGTCATGACCTACTAACAAAGTATAGCACCATAATATACTTCTTTTTTATTCAGAATTGTACAGGAGGCACTACAATCCGAAAAAAATCGATTTTTGATGAAATAAATATTTCGATTTTTAGAAAATGTTTTTATGCCTGCACTCCCTTTTTCAGCTTACACGTTTATTGTTGATCCACCATTTGCACTTTACATACAGCAGGTACAATATTTGTTGAGATAGAAATTCAAGAAAAGGATAAACCAATAAAGTTCCGTTATCGGAACTACTGTAACAATTTACATTACATTTTCATTTGGAAAATAATTATACACGTTAAAGACCATATCTTCGATCGGGAATTAAATTCCTTTTTTTCACCTCCTTTGATTTATTCTAATAAAAAGTTACACTGAAAATGCACATGACGACATACTTACGAAGAAATACGCCTTCGTTACTGCAAAATACAGTACGCCAATGTCTTTCTACGTCGGGAGTCGGATGCGGTTCATTCCAAGGAAGTGACGCAGGAGTGCTCTTCGAATTTTATCTCAATAAATGTCGTACGGACGGTACATGAACGCAATATTTCCCCAAATTCAAAGTAATTCTGTAATATCATTGAAGAAATAGGAAAATGGATAATGTTTCACTGACTTCCTACCATTTCATGATCTATAATGACACTTCTTTTTACCATTCATTTTTCAAGTTTGTTTTATGCAGGTACTTAGGAACATAGTGATAGGATAGTAGACATTTGATTTAGAGATAGAAAGTTGAAATTAAGAAATCTTATGATTTTTATAAAAAAAAATATTTAAAAATCATTATAATCCATTTAAATCGTCACAGTGTTTTTTACATAGGTAATAAGGTACATACAGGTACGACGTACCTAAATAAAGTAAAAGTGACAATAAATAAATTTAAAAAAAAATTACTAGTGCAGTAAATGACACATATTACTCCCAGGAGTAAGATATAAATTTTTGAACTATATATAACGATCGATAATAAAGAATATTAATTAAACTAATTAAATAAATAATTTTCTCAAAACACTACAATAAAAGACGACACAACAGGTTTAAATTAACAGTCAGTATATAGGTATAAGTATAGGTATTCATATATTCATACCAAAAAATCTATCATTTAAATGTCAACTATACTGCAGTATCTAGTACTTAATTTTTCATCCGTTTTTAGTTATGTTTACTTTTCTATGTTTAAATTTAAAAATGAGTGTTACCAAATTCGCTTTCATACTCTCGAAAATCGCAATAATTTTTAATTAATTTTAGGCCTAATGAGGAATAATTAAGAAAACAATTTATACTTATCCGAGATAAATGAGACACAAAGAAAAACATGTTTCGTTTATTTCCTTGAAGAAAAGACTTATAGCTGTTTTAGCTTGTCAGTCTATTGATGAATAAATTGACGAAGTTCTTCATGAATTAATGCACGAATTTATTGGTAAACAGTATGGTTTTACACTGCTACAGACTTTATCAAGTTTTTTGACGCATGAATCAGTTCTACCAACGAATCAAAGAAG